GTGGTATGCATTTGATTAGCTTATAAAATGTTAACGGGAAGTATTTCACATGAGTAATTTTTATTACGTTTTATCATGGTGTCATTTGTAACAATAAAAATGAATTACAGGAGAAAGTACTGATGCATCTTCTATGAGTATTTGTCATACCCAAGGTCCAGAACTGCAATTAAAGTCCTCTGAAGATTTAATGCATTTATTTAAATGTGGCCTCTTCTGTTTTAAATGAAGCATAAACATTTTCTTGTTTTTGAAAACTATTCAGTGGTCAGAATTTTTTCTCACTATACTTTGTGTTTGGTTTATACAGTTTTGCCAAAAATTCTGTGAACATTTCAGTATAAGTAACTATCAAAGCTCCCCCAAGGGGTGAGTGAATGTGTTGGAACAAACTCCTGATCTGGCCACCAGGCCTCTTAGAAGAGGCCCTTTGGTACCAGTGATTCGGCGGGAAGAGGGTGGTTGGTGACAGCTTAGCTGTGACACACGATCCCCATGTGGGATGCCGACAGTCATTCCACATCCACCATTAAAGAAAAGAGGAAAAGGATAGAGACTAGTCATTACTCAGGTGACAAAGTTTTTTTGCTGTTGGTTTGATAACAAATTGGATTCCATGTTTCACTGTATCTCTACACTGGACCACCAAGCTCACATTAGACCAGCAAGGTCGATTATACAATGTACAAACATTAATTACTGGGCGTTCTCATAGTCTTTTCCTCCCTGGATCTCTTGTTATCCCCCTGGCTCCCCACCATGGAAAATGGGATTTTTTTTTTTTTCAATGAACTAGTAACTATGGGATGCATGTTCTTCAGAACTACAGCTTGAAATGTTTTCTTTCATTAAATATTCTACAGTTAGCCATTCATTAAACACAAAGTACCTTTTAAATGATTTCTGGTACTCTTTCCGAGTAAGCCATTATCTCCCAGTATGTATATTTGGAACATTGCCTGGTCGTCGAGACACTACCCAAAGAATGGCTGTGTTGCTACCCTCCCACAGCAAATCACTTTGGGCAAGTTTTAGAGAATTAGAGGGTATGTTGGAGGTTCAAGTCCACCTTCTCTTCTTACAGGTGAGGGAACCCAGACTGGGGAAATTTAAATGATTTCGCCAAGGTCAGGGAACTTGTTTTTTAACCTTGACATAGCGTATCTCCACAATGGACCATGATGTTTTTCCTCACAGTTCAATTCAGAAGGTGACCAGGGAATAAGAACTACCTTATGAAAATGTTGGAATAAAAGCACTTCAGCATTACAGGACTAACTGTACTTGAGTTCTTAAGTTTTCCCAATTTTACATCATCTGCTCTGCTGATGTAGACAAGTTAACTGGGTAGTACTCTTTATTAGCATGAGAATAGATCTAAGAATTGTCAATAAAATTGAACCAAAACCTTAATTATGTGTCTGTACCCAAGAAAATGTTGATAGCATCATCTTTAATGAAACCAAATATATTTATTCAAATCTATTATGAAATTACCACTTAAATTTTTAGTCTTTTGTTTTTTAATATCAGATCTATCGCTGACCTTGTTTGTTTCATGGTAGGAAAGGAGGCTTTGCTGTAACGAGTGTTTGTCACACACAAAACAAGGTGGGCAGCAGTGGAGGGAAGTTGTCCTGTTTTCAAACAGACCTTGTTTTTCTTGGATGCTTTTGCTTAAAATCCAACAGCCAAATGAGGAAACTGTAAAAGCAAAACAAACATTTTTATGACAGATGAATACTTAAGCTCTTATAATTCAGATATATTGATTCTGGTTTGATACGTTAAAACTTATGTTGACCAAAATACTGTCTCATCACAAAAGCCTTCGAGATTATTTCATCTAGAAGATGAAAGGTGAATTTTCCCCTGAAAGTCTGAATTGGAAGTGTTCTCAGGCAAATCTCATTTTGCATAGCTCTTTACTTGAGTCGTTGATAAATAGTCATCGGGGTTTTGTTTAAACGCTCCCCAGTTACAGGTACTCACTACCATATGAAGTAGCTCATTCCATTTTGCAGACAGTTCAAATTGTTAGCAATTTATTCTGCATCACCCCCTGGGCCTACATAGATTCTTCGGAGAAGCATAGGAAAAAATTTTTTTTTCTTCTACATAACAGCCTTTCAGATGTTTGGAGATTGTCCTTAAGTCTCCGCTGGGTCTTCTGCCAGCTGGACATAACCCGTTGTGCCATGTTACGCCCTGCCACGCTGCTACATGTTGAGTGGCATGGGCCACAGCATCCTGGAACTGGAAGTCAGTGTACCTACTATTTATGGGGTGTTCTTTATGGATCAGCATGCTAACACTGCACATTATCTCCTTTAGATCCTTAAAACAACCTAGTGAGATGCTACTCTTATCACCTACATTTCAGAGTTGAGACAAGCACTGAGAGAACAGAGAGCTAGAGGCAGTAGCACCCTGATCTGTCTGGCTCTGGAGCACAGTTTAGTCTCGTTTTACAAATGAAGAAACTGAGGCCCTGAGAAGTAAAGTGACTTGCCTGAGGGTGCCTGCCTGCCTGCTGGGGGTGAGCTCGGACTCCAGTTCAGATCTGCCTCCCAGAACAATGCTCCTCAGGGGACGAGTCAGTTGACAGGCTCTTCATCTCGTTTCCTACATTGCTTTAAAATCCAGCTCTCCTCATTTGTTGGACCCTTACTGTGTGTCCAGAACATGTGTTTTAAATGAGTGCAGGGCTGATAGCAGTGTGACAAGGCTAGGTTTTGAGAATTTTGCATAAAACACCAGGAGGAACTCAACACATGTTTTTGTACCAAACAGTGATGGTGTTTTATTTCTTGGCAACAAGATCATTTAAAAGATAAACTGCAAGTACTTATCAGAAGCCAATGCATGATCTTCAGCATATTGCATTCATTTCAGAATCCATCCTACATGCTTAACCCTATTATTCTATTCAACTCTAAAGCATTTATTTTACTGCATCATTTCGCCACTTTAAACCTTTGGGAGCTTCCAGTCACCTGAAGGATGATTCTGCTGGCTCTTGCCCGCTTTTCATCCTTTCTTCACCAATTCTCTGCTGAGCCAGGTTGCTTCATGCTTCCCCTGTTCTTGCTCACACTCTTCCCCTTGCTTGGAATGTCCGTCATTTCTGCCACTGAGCCAAATCCAGCCCAACTCCAAGTTCCATTTTCCCTGACCTCCTCAGCATCATGATCTCCCCAACTCTTCCAGGAGCTTCCAGGATTACTTATTTAGTATTTAATAGACCTGTGCCTATTAGAGCTGGACTTAAAGGATCCAGTCCTAAGTGGTGAAAGTTCCAGTTTCCCTGTGCATACCCCCATGCAGTATCCAGAACGGGCTTGTTCACATGGACTCACAAAAAAGCTCCTTTCTTCAGAAAAGTTAACTGTGGAATTATTTTTAATACGTGGATGTCAGTGTCCTTGTGCTTTGGAAAGTGTGAAATAAAACCCATGGTTTATTAAATTGAAATAAAAGTTGAAGGAAGGTATTCTTAGCTAAGGCATTAGACACATGCCCAATGAAAAACTGTTATAAACTGAAGTTTTGTAAATCAGTGCCTGGGTTAGGATAAGTGTATGGGAAGATAGAGGATTAGCATATACAAGTCCTTGAGAGCTAGAACTGTATTTTATTTGGATTTGTCTCTCCAACCCTTCACACAATGTCTGTCAGATATTAGATTACATTTATGAAATTAGTGAATGAATGAGTGCATCTTAATAGGACCATCCAAGGATGAGATGGGTGCCCTTAGGGTGGGGAGTACCCCATCCTAACGGGACATGCTGGCTATGGTCTGGACAACCAGTGAAGAAATGTTCCTTCCAAGCCCCAGCAGTGTATTCTACGAAATACAAAAAAGGGCATTCAATCATGTTTAAAATGTCTTGGGATAGTTTACTCCAAAAAAATCACCCCTGGAGATTTATCAGCCTTGGAAGTTTGAATTGTTGCCTCTTCAATGAATATTTAGTTTTTCAAATGCAAGCTGTAAGTGGTATACTGCTATATAAATGGTTCTACTTAGCTGTAAGAAAATACATCAGAAGACTGGGGGGAGAAATAACTTTTCTCCAGTAACTGTTCACAACACACACACACATGGTGTGTCTTTGGAGCCAAACACCCATTCAGATTCCTCCTGTTCCATTTACTAGCTCTGTCATCTTAAAGATGAGGATACTTACTCTTGTGTAGGGTTTATATGAGGACAAAAATCAGATAATGTTGAAAAGCATCTAGTACAAAATAAGACAGAGTAGGCTTACAATAAACGATAGCTATTATGCTTACATTTCCTTTGTGGTTGGCTAAAATCCCCTAGTAATAAACTTTTACGTTCATGTAGTGATGTGCATTTTCCTGAATGTAGTTACAGGCATTATTACTTTATTTGTTTTCAGAACAACCCAGTAAGGTAGAACAAAGGTTACTATTCTCATTTTATCAATGAGAGAGATTCACAGCTTGCCTACATGATAACCTTGCCAAATGGTAACTGGAATCCAGGTCTTCTCATTCCAGGTACACGCTCATTTCATTTCACCTGATGCTGCAGTGGCTAGCGTTAGGTGGGGTTCCTCAGATTTCCTTCATTTATTCAGCAAATACTGATTGCAACTCAAATAATTGAGCTGGATGTTTGTCCTACTTATGGTATCCCTGGTTAATTAGCAGAGTACTTGGTATATAATAGTTGCTCAATAAATGCTTCTGGAATGAATGGGTGGGTTAAACCAGTTTTCTGAGTCTTTTCACTACATTACCCTGCTTCTGCTAAATGTGGGAGAACACGTGCAGGAGACTGGGAGAGACTGGCTATTGGGAGCAGCTGAGAGCCAATAGCAGCAGAGAGAAGCTGGTGCAAGGCCACGCTCCATGACATGGACGACTCAGAATAGGCCAAAGAAGAATATGTGCCATATTCCATCTGGGCACAGTTACAGAAAATGTAAACAAATCTGTAGGACAGAAAGCAGTTCAGTGGTTGCTTGGGGATGGGATGGGGTGGGATAGGGAGCAAGGAGTTTCAAAGAGGCATGAGGAAATGACAGGGTGATGGATCTGTTCATTATCATTTATGGTGATGGTTTCATGGGTGTAAATAACGTTTAAATGTAGCAAACGGTACACTTTAAATATGTGTGGTTCATTGTCGATTACACCTCCATTAAGGTGTTTGAAGAGGAAGAAGAGGGAGAAGAGCAGGAAGATGACAGAGAGGAGATGGAAGAGGGGGGAAAGGAGAGGAGGTGGCAGGTCCTCTCTGTAAGGTCTCCCTGTTTAGCCCCTGCAGACACAGACGCCAACGCCGGTAATGCGGCCGGTTCTCTGTCCCTTTGGTGACCAGTCTCTGGGCATGCTCAGGGAAGAAAGGGTTGGCTTAGGATTTAGAAGCCTCGGTTCCTGGTCTTGTCTCTGCCATTCACAAAGGTGTGATGCTGGGCATCAGCCTGACATTGGCCACAACGTCCAATTTATAATTTGGAAATGCTTGACCAGCCAACCTCAGTATTGGTTGGAAGATCACCTAAGGTGACACATATTAGAGTGCTTGGTGAACTGAGTGTAGGTCACAGGGAGGATAGCAGTGGGGACACAGGGATTGAGCCCTGACTTCCTTCCTAGTCTGTTCATGACAACACGACAACATAGCATAGAACCCCCAGCAGCAGCTGACGTGAGTTCGGTGTCCTCTTGGCTAAATGACCCCTGCTTCCTATAGTGAAAAGTTTTCTTGTGACCAATAGCTAAGATTTATCAAGAGCTGTGTTCTAGATCCTGCTCTGCCACTGACTCCCAGTGAGATCTTGGCCAGTCATGACCACACTTGGCATGTCTGTCAAATGAGGAATTGGATTGCTGGCCCCTGGGGTCCTTCAGGCTCTTGAATTCTATCACCTTCATATAAAACTATTTGCCTACTTTCATAACTCCAGATGGGGAGGAGAAGTGTGGTTAGCAACAGTTCTCACATCCCTGACCCTCAGTGACTTTGAAGCATCAGGAAAATGGTAACCTTTACCACCTCCCCATTCTCAGCCCACACACAGCTGTGTACTCCATGGGCTTACTCCTCCCCTAATGCTCTTTTTTCATTTTTGTTTTTACTTCGTTCTCACAAACACTAAATTAATGCATCTTTCTAAGTTCATTCACTCAGAATATATGACATTAATAGGTTAAAAATCTTACCTCCCAGAAAGTTTGGTCATCAAGATATTTAGCCACATGAGGTCCTCTCCATATTTTGAGGTTTAAGAGGAAACCTGTTTAAATTCATAATTAAATGGTAAACACGTGGAGCACAGCATTTGTCTCAAAATTAATCAAAATATCATATGTCAACTATGGTATCTCAACAGAAATCCTTTTTTTCTTCCACAACCAGGAGACAGAGAAACTGAAGCACTGTCCTTCCTGGACCAGCTTAATTAATTCTATAGACATCTTTTGAAGGGAACTGGCAAGAGCAATTATCTCCAAATGATTTAGATTACCCTGAGAGGTATTTGGTTACCATGGATCTGACATTCTTCCTGGAAAGAAATAGAAGGGCTCTGTCAGGTGATGCCCCCATTTACAGCTGATCCATTTAAAACACAAGAGCTACCATGGAGAGCGACTCCAATTAGCTGCCCCTGCAGGTGCTTTGTCAGGAAACTCCGGGTGACCTCATCTCAAGGTTCCACTTGTGTAGTTAGGAAAGAAGTTTATAAGAACTTGCTCTGTGCCTGTTCTTTTCATCCAGCTCGCCTCTGCCCAGAGAGCTTGGCCCTAGGCTTTACCTGAGCTGCGCAAAGTCTGCTCAATTTCCCAGGATACTTGAAGTGGTGAGCACTTATTGTTTTCACATGATTCAGGGAAATGCTGTTGATGGATTGATCTCTGATTTTAGTGATGATTGGTCCCAATGTATTAAATAGTAAGATTAACAAGAGTAGGCACGTGCTTATTCATATTTTCCTTTTGCAGTGCATGCCTGTAACTGATATTGGCATGCAGGGTGCAATCAACACACCTCATTTAGCTAGAATTACTCAGAAATGATCTCTTACCACCTACATGAATATTCCAGGTAGCTGAAGCTTACTCATCACTGATGAAAATCCATCTAAAATTTATTTCTTATCTTACAAGACAACACTGAACACATTTAGACTTTTTCTGAAAAATCAGAACCGTTGCTCGGAACATCCATGTATGGAATGTGCTGTATAATGTAGAGAAGGTTTATAACTGCTGAGGGCTGTTGGCCTATTCTCTCAGCAGCCCAAGCTTTTCATGTTCTTGTGTCTACTTTTAAGAACTTTTCTTCTGTTGGGCTTTCTGTATTCATTTCTAACTTCTACTGGTGTGCCTTACCTCCAGAAATCTATCCCACATCTAACTGTTATTTCTAATCTGCGTGAACTGGGAAACCCAATAACCATGCTTAATGGGATTGTTTCTTAAGTAGGTATAGACAGGCTCCAAATAAGGGGGTCTCTTGACAAGTAAAATGCTTGACCTTAGAGGGCCAATTTGGAGGCTGCTTGGAGGCTTTGTCCCCTTTGATGGTTCAATACTTTTGGATCCCCAGTTCCCTCATATCCAAGGCAACATGTAAACACAAGAAGCCATTCTTTTTAACTCTTAAAGGAATAATATGGGTGTCTTTTCCTCTGTTATCTTTGTCTTGCCAATGGGTTTCAGCCCTGGGCAAGTTCACTCTTGATTCAGTGAGACAGAAAAATGACAATGGAACATTCTTGGGGTATAGGGTTTATACCCAGCTTTATTCTCATGGTGGCAGGTCAAGCGCTAAAATCCTGTCCACTTCAGGGCACGTCTGCATGCAGCAAGCTGGTCTCTGTCTCTGTCCTTGGCGCTCCCACCACTCCAGCCTCTGCTTCTGTAGCAGTGCAGCCCAGAGCACTGGACAGAGCTCTTTATATTGAGTCAGTAATAACGTGTTGCCCATGTATTGTGTGCAGCGGACAAGCCAGCCAACGTCAGGTGAGAATCCTGGCCAAAGGAACTTTCATTTTCTCTACACTCTTATTGACTCCAGTGATGTATAAGGAAAGCCCTCCTGGACACTTCACTGGCCAGTGCAGGTCAGTGTCACTTTATCAATACCAGTGGCAGTGGTGAATGGTGTGAGAGCCCCAAAATATTGGCTCAACTAATTGTAAATTTAAAAAATGGGCCCCTTGTATTTTCACTTGCTAAGTCTGGCAACCCTCGTCAGGGTTGGTCTGCCCACCATGAACAGTGTGTTAACTTGTGGAAGAAGGCATTCTTCTCATCTGTATTTAATTAATCACCTCAGACTGTCAAAAGCTGAGGCCAATTGATACAGTAAAGCAATTCTAGCCAATCTCACTCTCTTAAATTACCCAGGTAACTCCAAATAGTGCCTTCATGTTGCAGAGTAGAAAGGAAGCCAACTGACTCAGCACCATAATCCTTTCATTTTACAGAGAAGCCAGCCAAGGCTCAGAGTGAGTAAAGTGATAGGGCCCAAAGTCACACAACTCCTGGGTGTCTGCTTACACCATTTTGTCCTTTATTTATGTTCACTCCCTGCTTAGGGACATAATATATGAGTGTCCAGCCAATAAGTTGTTTGCTTGTAGGGTAAAGGTGAACAGCTCTAGACAGAATACGTATTTTCACCTAGCATATAAGTAAGACTAGTGAAATAGTAACTTCCCAAATTCTTTGCTCTTCTGTTTTACTGCAGGAGCAGAAACATACTTCAGTCCTCTGTTTAAGGGTCTCCAGTGGCTTCTCATCTCTCGGAGTGACCTTGCTCCTTGCTACTACTCTGTCCTCAACCCCTGTCACTCTCCCCCTCACTCCATCTACATCAGCCACACTAATCTCCTTGCTGTTCTTACATGCAAAGCATGTTCCTGTCTCAGGGCCTTTACACTTGCTGTCCCTTTTCATGGCTTGTTCTTCTCATGGTATATCTCCCTCCTTCTGTCCATTTCGGTTTCTGTTTAAAGGTCAGTTTATTCAATGGACCCTCCCTTCCCACCCTTCTAAAAGAACTCCTCACACTGACTCTGTGTTCCCCTACCCTGATTTATTCCTCTTCATACAATTATCACCATCTGACATAGTAAATATTTACTTATTTATTGTCAAACTCCCCTCCACAACTACAATATCAGCTCATATTCTCAGGGATATAAGATTAGGGAGTCTACTGGGTTCACTGCCCACCTCATAATAGATATTGAATGAAATAATATGCGTGAAGAACAAAAGTTCTGCTTTTTGGCATAAGGGTGCCTTTGGCCTTCTGTACAAAATTGGGTGAAGCCACCAACCTTGGGCTCAAGAGGCTACAGTGTCCCCACTAACCCCTACTTAGAACCTCAGGAAAGTCTCTTCCTTTCCCTGGCCCTCAGAGCCCACGCACACGGCAGGTGACTTCTGAGGGCCTTCCCATTTCTGAAACAATGTGATTCTGTGTTTGTTTTTTGGTCAAGGCCTGAGCCCTTTGTCTCACATGGCTGCAGCTGAGGGGGTTCATCCACAGGGAAGGGGATGGGCACATGCACATCCTGCCATGGGGCAGGTGCCCTCTGGACCCGAGCCCTGTGCACTGGACAATGGCAGAAGAAGGGTGGTCTCACACTGACCTGTCAGAAGACCAGATACCAGACCCACAGCCACAGCCATGCTGAGTGCCCCGGTGTCGATGAGCACCTGGTAGCCGACCCTAGAAATGACAAGGCAGAGGTGGTTACATTCAGGCATCAAGCGTGCAGAGGTCATCAGCGTCAAAAAACACCATGTGCATCAGTAGCAATGCTGTCAGTGAGGGCCATCCAAGAACAAGTGTCCTCTGCTCAGGTGGTATATATTCCCCTGTCGTGTTCTAGAAAGCCATGCAGACATGTTGGAGGGGAAGGGAGAATTCCAAGGTCCTCTTTGGCATACTTTAATCCTTCGACCCCAGGATAATGAACTAGACCGGGAGTCAAAAGACCCAAGTTCAAGTCCCAGGCCTGTCACTGGCTGTGAGACACAGGCAAGTCATTCAACCTCTCAGAGTCCTGAGATTCTTCATTAGATGAATTTAAGATGAAGGAGTACAGCCTGGCTATCACATTCATCTCCCCTTCCTACCCCACTGTGAACATACTTCCCTGTCCTCTCTCCTTCAAGGCAGCCATAGGACTTCAGTTTAAACTACTAAGGGGCCCTGGGAGGACATCTACATGACCTTGCAGTAGGCAAGATTTCTTAAACGGGACACAGAAGAGCTAAACATGAAGGGAACAGTGATAAATTGGACTATATTAAAATTAAGAACTTCTCTTCATCAAAGGACACCATTAAGAAAGTGAAAACCCACAAAGTGGGAGAAGATATTCACAATGCATATATCTGACAGAAGATCTATATCCAGCATATATAAATCATTCCATATTCACACAATAGAACACTTGGTTTAACTGTGTTTTCTTAGCTTCTGTATTTGCCTGGCACTCATTTATCATGGGGCCAAACTCTTGCAAGGCAGCTTTCATGGGAGTGCAAAGCTCATATTTCAGGCCCCCTGAAGCACCAACTCAAACATGTTTTCACTTCCTGCCCTGTGGGATGTCCTCAACTTGTCACCCTGCCACTCTAGTCCTAAAGGCAGTCTCGGTTCCCCTCTCCCTCTGCTGCCTGGTCCCTGTGTGTGATGAGTTTTCACATGACCCTGCATGATGTGCTGTGTCTCTCATTTCCCGGGGGCCTGTAGGACATTAACCTTGCCTTTTGGTGATGCTGACCTCTTCACGTCGTCACTCAGGAACCTCCATAAATTAAACCAAAGCACAGCTCAACCCTCTAATGAAACCCAACCCAATGAAAATGAGCAGTCTCCAGAGAAACCCAATAACACGGGTGAATCTCACAAGTTAAGTGTTGAGTACAAGAAGCCAGGAGCACAAGAGCACAGACTTTCCATATGAGTTCATGTCTGTCAAGGACAAAAGCAGCTTTGCAACTGCCTTTGTCAGGTTAGCTGTTGCCCTGGATGTGAAACAAAGGAGCTCTGAGGGCTGGTTACACGGCATGATAGGAAATTCACAAGTGATCCCCTTATGATATTTGCTAGAGGTAGATTACACTCCCCCCCAAATTTTTTTAAGTTAACATCAAGTGGCAGAATAGAAGCTCAACTTAAATCTGCTGACGACACAGAATTCACTGTCTCTTGATACTGTCTGAAAGCAGGGCTGGATGAAGTAAAAATCGCCCTAATTGTCCCCACTCAGGGTGGGCTCCCCTGTGCCAGAACCTTGATTCCATGATTTACCATCAGATTCCACAGGATCCTCCCAGCCCTGTGAACAAGCCATGACAGTCCCTATTTCACGGATGGGGAGGGCCGGATTAGGAAGGTCAGCTGAGGGCTCCAATGGCACACGATTTGATGTGGGTGGCTCTTGGGATTCAAACCCAGCAGGTCTGTCCACCCACAGTCTGGCCAGATTGTTTCCACATTTCAGCATTTGAGGGCCACCTTCACAAATCTGTCCATATTGGCATTCCAGGGACACTATTGTGAAGTTTTCCTTTAGACCTTTTTTACATTTAAATAAATGAGTTTAAAGGGAAACTTTGTGTCACTACCATAAATGGAAGAGAAATGGGAGGTAACTATAAAAAGAGATACAATGAAAACAAAACGTTCCTAAAATCTCCCCCAGATGGGACAGTATGGACAAGTCTGTAGGCCCAGGCTCCCTCCGCTGTCATTCACACTAGATGTCAACAAGTGTCCGAAGGGCACAAACACACTCAGCACGATTTTCTCCTGAAGTAATCAAAGGACTGAGAACTGAAAAAGAGCGTCTGCACTGCAAGAGTCACTGTTATGTAAGTGTGTCTTCACACCACTTAAAATCCCACCATTTGTGAAAACTGCCCCATCCTGGCTGTGAGCATAGCATCTGACCCATTCATGTTCGCTCACCTGAATAGAAAATCGGCAAATACTGTTTGTAGAGTGAAAATGAAAAGTCAGCTGAGTTGCCCAATGACTCCAAGCTAACAAAAAAGCTGTTGCACATTTCACATGAAATGTTCTGACTCCCAGCTCCATCCTTTATCCCTCTTTCCACGGTATACAGATGCCCTTTATATGGAAGCAGCAGCAGTAGTCATCAGAAAGAAGACAGGCCACGGGTTGGGTGTTTACTCCATGCCAAGCACTGTCCTCAGTCCTTTAATTGTATGTTGCTGAATCTTCACAGCAGCCCTGGGGTGTAGATCTTATTGTCCCATTTTACAGATAGAAAACTGAAACCTGAAGAAAGTTTGAGTACCCTGCCTAAGGTCACGCGACTTGTAAATGTGACCTTGTCTGTCTGTCCCTGAAGCTTGTGCCCTTTACTCCCAGGAAGACCGAAGCTTCCCCCAAAGAGAGATGATTGCTGTCACTAGGTCCTTCTCTTTGCCAGGTTCCTTCCTGCAAAGGTGAGAGCACAATTACTTCTTGGCCATCAGCTGTCTCACCCTGGGAAGGTGATTTGTTTACCAGGTGTGCTGGAGCCGGCTCCCAGGCTCCCGGGACCATCATGCTCATTTCCCGACTTCCTGTTCCGTGATTTCACCCGGATGGCTTGGGCTTTGTTTATCTGGAGACCCACTTGTTAAGCACACCAGAACAAAAGTTCTGCTTTTTGGCATAAGGGTGCCTTTGGCCTTCTGTACAAAATTGGGTGAAGCCACCAGCCTTGGGCTCAAGAGGCTACAGTGTCCCCACTAACCCCTACTTAGAACCTCAGGAAAGTCTCTTCCTTTCCCTGGCCCTCAGAGCCCACGCACACGGCAGGTGACTTCTGAGGGCCTTCCCATTTCTGAAACAATGTGATTCTGTGTTTGTTTTTTGGTCAAGGCCTGAGCCCTTTGTCTCACATGGCTGCAGCTGAGGGGGTTCATCCACAGGGAAGGGGATGGGCACATGCACATCCTGCCATGGGGCAGGTGCCCTCTGGACCCGAGCCCTGTGCACTGGACAATGGCAGAAGAAGGGTGGTCTCACACTGACCTGTCAGAAGACCAAATACCAGACCCACAGCCACAGCCATGCTGAGTGCCCCGGTGTCGATGAGCACCTGGTAGCCGACCCTAGAAATGACAAGGCAGAGGTGGTTACATTCAGGCATCAAGCGTGCAGAGGTCATCAGCGTCAAAAAACACCATGTGCATCAGTAGCAATGCTGTCAGTGAGGGCCATCCAAGAACAAGTGTCCTCTGCTCAGGTGGTATATATTCCCCTGTCGTGTTCTAGAAAGCCATGCAGACATGTTGGAGGGGAAGGGAGAATTCCAAGGTCCTCTTTGGCATACTTTAATCCTTCGACCCCAGGATAATGAACTAGACCGGGAGTCAAAAGACCCAAGTTCAAGTCCCAGGCCTGTCACTGGCTGTGAGACACAGGCAAGTCATTCAACCTCTCAGAGTCCTGAGATTCTTCATTAGATGAATTTAAGATGAAGGAGTACAGCCTGGCTATCACATTCATCTCCCCTTCCTACCCCACTGTGAACATACTTCCCTGTCCTCTCTCCTTCAAGGCAGCCATAGGACTTCAGTTTAAACTACTAAGGGGCCCTGGGAGGACATCTACATGACCTTGCAGTAGGCAAGATTTCTTAAACGGGACACAGAAGAGCTAAACATGAAGGGAACAGTGATAAATTGGACTATATTAAAATTAAGAACTTCTCTTCATCAAAGGACACCATTAAGAAAGTGAAAACCCACAAAGTGGGAGAAGATATTCACAATGCATATATCTGACAGAAGATCTATATCCAGCATATATAAATCATTCCATATTCACACAATAGAACACTTGGTTTAACTGTGTTTTCTTAGCTTCTGTATTTGCCTGGCACTCATTTATCATGGGGCCAAACTCTTGCAAGGCAGCTTTCATGGGAGTGCAAAGCTCATATTTCAGGCCCCCTGAAGCACCAACTCAAACATGTTTTCACTTCCTGCCCTGTGGGATGTCCTCAACTTGTCACCCTGCCACTCTAGTCCTAAAGGCAGTCTCGGTTCCCCTCTCCCTCTGCTGCCTGGTCCCTGTGTGTGATGAGTTTTCACATGACCCTGCATGATGTGCTGTGTCTCTCATTTCCCGGGGGCCTGTAGGACATTAACCTTGCCTTTTGGTGATGCTGACCTCTTCACGTCGTCACTCAGGAACCTCCATAAATTAAACCAAAGCACAGCTCAACCCTCTAATGAAACCCAACCCAATGAAAATGAGCAGTCTCCAGAGAAACCCAATAACACGGGTGAATCTCACAAGTTAAGTGTTGAGTACAAGAAGCCAGGAGCACAAGAGCACAGACTTTCCATATGAGTCCATGTCTGTCAAGGACAAAAGCAGCTTTGCAACTGCCTTTGTCAGGTTAGCTGTTGCCCTGGATGTGAAACAAAGGAGCTCTGAGGGCTGGTTACACGGCATGATAGGAAATTCACAAGTGATCCCCTTATGATATTTGCTAGAGGTAGATTACACTCCCCCCCAAATTTTTTTAAGTTAACATCAAGTGGCAGAATAGAAGCTCAACTTAAATCTGCTGACGACACAGAATTCACTGTCTCTTGATACTGTCTGAAAGCAGGGCTGGATGAAGTAAAAATCGCCCTAATTGTCCCCACTCAGGGTGGGCTCCCCTGTGCCAGAACCTTGATTCCATGATTTACCATCAGATTCCACAGGATCCTCCCAGCCCTGTGAACAAGCCATGACAGTCCCTATTTCACGGATGGGGAGGGCCGGATTAGGAAGGTCAGCTGAGGGCTCCAATGGCACACGATTTGATGTGGGTGGCTCTTGGGATTCAAACCCAGCAGGTCTGTCCACCCACAGTCTGGCCAGATTGTTTCCACATTTCAGCATTTGAGGGCCACCTTCACAAATCTGTCCATATTGGCATTCCAGGGACACTATTGTGAAGTTTTCCTTTAGACCTTTTTTACATTTAAATAAATGAGTTTAAAGGGAAACTTTGTGTCACTACCATAAATGGAAGAGAAATGGGAGGTAACTATAAAAAGAGATACAATGAAAACAAAACGTTCCTAAAATCTCCCCCAGATGGGACAGTCTGGACAAGTCTGTAGGCCCAGGCTCCCTCCGCTGTCATTCACACTAGATGTCAACAAGTGTCCGAAGGGCACAAACACACTCAGCACGATTTTCTCCTGAAGTAATCAAAGGACTGAGAACTGAAAAAGAGCGTCTGCACTGCAAGAGTCACTGTTATGTAAGTGTGTCTTCACACCACTTAAAATCCCACCATTTGTGAAAACTGCCCCATCCTGGCTGTGAGCATAGCATCTGACCCATTCATGTTCGCTCACCTGAATAGAAAATCGGCAAATACTGTTTGTAGAGTGAAAATGAAAAGTCAGCTGAGTTGCCCAATGACACCAAGCTAACAAAAAAGCTGTTGCACATTTCACATGAAATGTTCTGACTCCCAGCTCCATCCTTTATCCCTCTTTCCACGATATACAGATGCCCTTTATATGGAAGCAGCAGCAGTAGTCATCAGAAAGAACCAGGCCACGGGCTGGGTGTTTACTCCATGCCAAGCACTGTCCTCAGTCCTTTAATTGTATGTTGCTGAATCTTCACAGCAGCCCTGGGGTGTAGATCTTATTGTCCCATTTTACAGATAGAAAACTGAAACCTGAAGAAAGTTTGAGTACCCTGCCTAAGGTCACGCGACTTGTAAATGTGACCTTGTCTGTCTGTCCCTGAAGCTTGTGCCCTTTACTCCCAGGAAGACCGAAGCTTCCCCCAAAGAGAGATGATTGCTGTCACTAGGTCCTTCTCTTTGCCAGGTTCCTTCCTGCAAAGGTGAGAGCACAATTACTTCTTGGCCATCAGCTGTCTCACCCTGGGAAGGTGATTTGTTTACCAGGTGTGCTGGAGCCGGCTCCCAGGCTCCCGGGACCATCATGCTCATTTCCCGACTTCCTGTTCCGTGATTTCACCCGGATGGCTTGGGCTTTGTTTATCTGGAGACCCACTTGTTAAGCACACCATTGGTTGACTGACCTGTGTTTATTTTGTTTGTTTTGTTTTGTTTTGCTATAGGCCAGTAGTTCTCAAATTTGAACTTGCAGGAGAATCACCTGGAGGGCTTATTAAAACCAATCCCAGGTTTCTAATCAAGTAGGTCTGAGTGGGATGGGATTTACATTTCTAACAAGTTCCCAGGTGCTGCTGATGTTGAGAACCATTGCTCTAGGAGAGCCACAGAATCAGCATTTGGGAGCTGGAAGGGCAGGTGATTCCAAAGTCACAGGCTGGCCACCCCTGAGCAGAATCTGGCCCATGAAATGTGCCTAAGGATTGTGAACCTTTTGCCAGTGCTGGACAGAGTACGTGCATAACTCTGGATTTCTGGCTTCTCTTGAAAAGTCCTTAGATCTGGTGATACTGAGCCTGGGTCTCTGCCTAGTGCTGAAAAGCAACTGCCCGCTGTGTCCCAGCCCCCTTCACTGGCTTCATTTTTACTTTACCTGCCTAGCCCCTACAGGAATCGGAGGTTGGGGCCCTGCTAGATCAATCCCCCATTGCAAAGAAGGGGACTCAGGGGCCCAGAGAGAAGAAAGGATTTGCTGAGTTGCACAGCTGTGAGAACAACAGCAGACACGTCACTGGAGCCCATCGCTGAGGCACCTTGCTTCACACAGCCCATCCCTCCCCGACCCCCAGAGGGGACCTCCTCACTCCAAGCAGCCCACGGAGGGATGTCTCACCCTCCCATTCATGATTCCTATAATGTGGGGCTACAGTTGTCTCTGTCCACAGAGCTCTGAGGGAGCCAGCCCTCCTTGATTTCTCCAGGATGCCTCCAAACGCCGTGAGCTCTTCATCACCCGCTTCAGCTGCTCACCACCTTCCAGACAGCTTCCATCTGAGTGACCCGGGCAGACAATGCCCCTAAGTGTCATTTCTTAGAGTATGATAATAATACCTCACAGGGCGATTGTGAGGATTAAATGAGGCAATGCCTGTGATGATAGCACTTAGAAAGCAGTCAATAAAAAAGTAGTGATTATGATCAGTGATATTATTATTATCACTGTATCAGTTCATCTGGAAAAATCTATCCCTGATCCTACCCAAGTCCCTCTTCCGCTTGATGTACCTGTATCCAGGGAGTACTGTGGATAAAATGAAGGTTCCTGTGGCCAGGATTCTCACCTGGCCCTGGGTGGCTGGCTCACTACACACGTGTGGGCAATATATCATTATTGACTCTATTTAGAGAGCCCTGCCCAGGGCTCTGGGTGACATGGTGGCACAGCTGCAAGGCTGCAGGAGAGCAGAGGCTGGAGTGGTAGCAGCGCTGAGGACAGAGGCCCAGAGGCAGAGACCGGCTTGCTGCATGCAGACTCGCTCTGAGTGAACGGCATTTTAGTGATTGACCTGCCACCGTGGGAATAAAGTTGGGTATAACCCTTTCACCCCAAGAACATTCTACTGCCATTTCTTCGGTCACACTGAATCCGTAGTGAACTTGCCCCGGGCTGAAACCCATTGGCAAGACAACTACACAGTCTCATGGAGGCAATAGCTCTGGTGCATGGAACTGATTGCTGCTGTCCCTTGTCTAGGGTGCAGAGGACCCAACTCTAGTCCAGAGGCCTACATGCCCACCTCACCGTGAGGCTTCAGCCAAGCCTCTTATCTCTGGGCCTCACGGATAGGCTGTGCTTAGCATTTTCCTACATTGATGTATTTAATCCTCTCAACCACATGGTGCCGGGCCTCAGGCAGCTTCCCACAGCCCTGTGAGGGGCGGGACTGTCATTATCTTCATGAACATTGGGCAGCAAGGCTCAGAGATCAGGCAGCCTGCCCAGTCGGTAAGGACTCCAGACCGGTCTGACTCCTGTGGTACACGCCACCAGGACCCGCGGCACCAGGGGCTGACATATGGACTCGGCTGGCTGGGGCCTGAATGACCTGATCTGTCTGCATTTGGGACGGGACCCAGGACCTTTGTCTGGCACCTAAGGTACCCTGTTTGGAAAGAAGAGGTGGCCTGGAGAGAGGGTAACTTCATACAAGGTAGAGGCTGGGCAGAATTCTCAAATAAATCTGCCAATAAGTATTCCCTGAGGCCTGCTGAGTGCCTGGCACTGAATGCACATGCCCCAACTAAGGGCTCCAGGCACATTTCCTCCTGCATCGTATAGGGCTGTTGAGGGGGTTAGCCAAGAGACCCACATGAGATTCTTGGTCCAGTTGACCTGAAGCATCATCAGTACAATGTAGGCGATCCCTCCGAGCAGTCCCGGCAGGCCGAAGGTGTAGTGCATGCCGCAGGTATCGTGGATGCCCAGTACCTGGTTAAAACACACCTGGGACAAACAGTATTATAATCAGTATATGACAGACTGATATTCACTACCCACCCTTTTTACAGATTGCAGGAATCCAAGGCCACCAGAAGGGGATGGACCACATGGTTCACCTGAAAGAGTGCTTCTCAGACCTGAATGTGCCCTCATATTGCCCGGGAGCTTCTGAAAGCGCAGGGTTGGGTTTAGTGGGCCTGGGGCTTGAGAGCCTACATTTCTAGCACAGGCCCAGGTGAGGCCAATGCTGATGGTCCACTGATGACACTTTGAGAGGCAGGTGCTACTCAAATAATTGAGCTGATAATTCTGTGTTGTGAGAGGGGCTGTCCTGTGCTTTGTGAGATTTACAGCCCTGGGCTGTACCTTCTAATGGCAGTAGCACCGCCTGTACTCAGTATGTCAACCAAAATGTCTGCAGATATTGCCACATGTCCCTGTGGAGGGTAATTGAGGCCCACTGGTCCAGCCCAAACTTAACTGCCATCCCAAAGATATCATGGCTGAGTAGAAAAGAATCTGACCACACTTCCAGACTCCACACTTCCAGGCTCCTCCACCTCACCACCTATCCTCCCAGAGGGATGCAGGCCCACAGATACACATACAAATGTAAATTCAGAAGGCTAATTCTCTCCTTAGGATTCCCCACTGTTTTCAGAATAAAAACCTAGACCTCTCAGCTAGCCCAGGAGCTGCACCTGAGTATCGTGCCTCTCTCAAGTCTCTGCTCCCACCGTGCTCCCAGCTGAACCCAACCCTTCAGCTAGAAGAACGTCTTGCTCTTTCCTGGCTGGGCTCTATGCTCTTCTCGCTGTTGAGCCTTTGAACCCAGCCTTCTGCCTGGAATACATCCTCCCCTTTGCTTAGCTAATATTAGTTATCTGTCAACACTTGGCTGATACCCCCTCCGCTCTGGGAAGCATTTCCTGATCCATCTCAGGCCAGGTTAGATGTGCTCCTGTGGTAGGAATCACACTGGGTCGTGTGGATTTGTCCATTTCCCTCATTGCACTATAGCTTTGGAAGCAGGATAAGTGTTAAACATTTGTGTTTAAAGAATGAATGAATGAATGAATGAGTGAATCATACCTTGAATCACCCCCCATCCACTGAGAAGTCAAAGAAACTGAGGCTGAAAGGAAGTGGTGGACACAGGGCCTGATGGTAGCTTGTTAGGCATTTTTGCTGTGCACCTCCCTCTCCCATCACAGGGCCTCAAAGCCAAAGGAGGCAGAAGACATTTATTCCCATCCCCAAGGTGAAAAGCAAACCGCCCACTCTTTGGTCAGATCGAACCATTGGTAAGTCCTCCCTTATTCTGAGTTAAAACTGCCTCTTGAATAGCTACTGTTCATCCAAATTCAGCCCCTTGAACCACCCAAAAGTCTGCTCCTTCTTCCTCCACCATGCCTTCAATCTCATGAAGGTTTGTTGTACCTGAATCTTTCTCTTAGAAGTATGCTATAACAAATCGGCTATAATGGGGTGTTCTGGAATTATCAGTGTCTGTTGAATATTGAAGAAAGAAAAATCCATCCACTTAGAAGAGCTAAACAATCAGAAGTGGACCTGACCTAGACCCTCTTCTGGCTTGCTGCCCTTCCATGGGCAAAAGCCATGTACGTACAGAGTGCCCCATCCTCCACTCCCAGCAGAGATAAGCACATTGTCCAAGCTAAACCAACGGGCCCCTCTCCAGAAAACTTGCAACTGGGGCCAAGAGTTTCTCTTCCTTGAAGAGAGAGACTACATTCTACCATGTGGAGTGGAGGTAGGATTTGGAGAAGAGGAAGGAGGTCTACAGATGAGAATAAAGCAGATATTTGGGAAAAGCAAAGAGAGAAGAGCAGGTACCTCTTGGGCTCCCACAACACTACCGTCCCTGGTGCCAGCTGTCCTTGGGCTCCCAGCCACGTCCCTGTCCGCAGGCTCTGTGACGCCCCAGCAGCCTTGTACAGATTCCCCCTTATGCCTGAGCAAGCTTGAACGGGTTCTTCTACTTGCTCCCCACATCCTAACAAATGCACCATCTAGCCTGAGTGGCTTTGAAGCCAATCTGAGAAGCCAACACGGCACCACACAGTGGCCTGCCATGGTCCCAGGGGCCTGCCAGTCTAAGCCAAAGCTGCAGGTGTTCGTTGCCCAGCAACTTACCGGCAGGCACTTGGCTCCCCCGATGGAGACGAGCCCAGCCATAAGGCCCAGCACCATGGCGAGCCAAGGAGAAGAGATCAGGTGACCAGAGGCACTCACAACCACACCTCCTGCCAGCACCGCATTGTGGATATGAGTCTGCAAAGAAATAGCGTGTGGGTGAACCAAGGGAGGGCATCACTTGCCTAGAGTTACTCGGTAAGCTGGTAGCAAGCAACACTGCAATGTCCTCCCTGCCTGGCTGGTCCTGCAACCATCCCCCTTCCCTCTGTGGAGACTCTGTGACCTTCCTCAATGGTCTTTTCTCAGGTCTACTTCTCAGGATCAGGCAGCAGTCACCCCAAATGGGAGGCATTTAGCTTGGAAGTTCATGTCCTCAGCATCCTAGCCACCCTCACACTTTTTAGTGATGTGTCCTTGGGCATATAACCACTCAGTGCTTCAGCTTTTTCTGCCCGAAGAGTGGGGTTTTGATTATACCTCCTTAATATGGTTATTGTAAGAATTAGATGAGTTGTCAATGTAAAACTCTCATCCCAGTGCCGGACATAGAACATGAGCAAATGCCCAATAAACATAAGCTGTTATTATTGTGTTTACTATTTTCATTATTATTATTGGCTACCTGATGCCTAGGCTGCCCTGTATTGCTGGGCCCCATTCCAATAAGCTGGCCCTTGTTCCTGGAGGCACATCACTGCTATATCCTTCATTCCTCTAGAACCAGGGCCCTGCTCTTATGCTACTTTCCTTTGTCCTCCTCAACTCTAACCTTGGAGCTCTGGGTGCTGAGACCAGCTTCTGGGCTTCCTGATGCCCACTGCTGCCTCCCTGGGTGTCCCCACCTGGTCTGTAACCTAGATACCCTGTCACCATGGAGCTCACCTGTGGGGACACTGACTCCCCCTAGCGCTGTCAACCTGTCATCCCTGGCCACATTCCCTCCACTCCGGGCCGGCGTCTAGACGTATTCCCACCACCTCTGGCTAGCTGACCTCATGCCCTGATGATCATGGGAACTTGATTTGTCATTAGCAGAGCACAGAACCCTCCCACCCATCTCTGCCCCCAAACTCACACACAGTCTCCCAGCTACATTGATAATAACAGCTACGTTTTGCCCAGCACATTCCCCATGAAGCAGTTCGTGTGCATTGCCTCTTAATCCCCACTTTACATATGAAGCAGTTGCTGCTTCAAAAGTTTTAGTGGCTTGACCAAGGTCACATGACGTCTTGTCACATGACAAGGGGAACATAGTTCTTTATTTCTGATCCCAATCTTTCCATTCTTGAAATTTCTTGGGGGAAGGGGAGAGGCTAATTCTATTCTAGTCTTTCTCTGTTGACTTGCTCGAAATGGCTGCCTTTAGTAATTGGCAGAAACGGGGTTCAAACCTGGGTTTGTTTGATGTCAATGCTGATAGACTTAATCTTTCCCCCAGCCCCCGCCCCTAGAGAGCCTTTGATCATTTGACCATTTCCTATGGTCCAGTGTTTGGCAAGCCAGCCTTCTTGCGGAGGCTCCATGACGCTGCAAGACAAGGCCCCATGACCCGGCATGCTCTTTCTTAACCCATGTGGCTGGTGTGGGGGAGGTGTGAGTGTGTGTGTCCAGCCTAGAAGCCCCAAGTGCTGCCCCCTCCTTACCATGTCGATCTTCCCACGGTGGTTTGCCAAGGCCGACACCGAGATCGCCGTCACTGCACTCACCGCAAGAGCATAGTAGGTATTGAATATGGCATTCTTCCTTTCGCTTGGAATCTCCACCAGAGCAGAGTTGAAATTTGGCCAGAACATCCACAAGAAGAGGGTCCCTGGAGACAGAGAAGATCGTGGACCAGAACCTGCACTCCTGTTCCAAAGTCTGAGCTCCCAGGGGCTTCAGACAGGAGGATTCTGGAGCTGGCAAGTCTCAGCTTTGTCACTTGCCAGCTGTGTGACTTTGGATACTTCATGTCTCCTCTCTGAATTCTCAGCTTGGTAGGGCCCAGCTGACATATTTTACAAGCAAGGAAACTAAGACTCCCTGACCCTGACCTATCATGGCCAAATGCTTATTTTTACAGCTTAATATGTTGCTTTCCTTTGGACCCATGGCTTGATATTCAGTCGCCTGCTTTCCAGCTCACCTGCCTGATTTCCACCAAGCCTCTCCCAGCAGCCTGGGTTCATCATTTCCACTGCAGCTTTCCCAAGTACAACAGCATTCCTCTTATCTTCCCACTCCTGGATTCCCACCCAGGATTCCTTTCTCCAGTCTTGGACCCTATTTCTTCTCTTGTCCAATTCCTTCCTTTGAGTTGAAGATAAAGGATTGGATAAACTTATCTTAAACTCAAATGTGATGAGTCTCTCCTCTCCTTTGGCTATTAATGAAGAGAGTTTCCCTAGACAAGAATGCTTAATTCAAGGTGTGAATTCATCAAACACTACTTGAGGAAATGGGTCACTCTGGAGGGATTTCAGGCACCCCAGGCAGGTTGGTATAGGAGAGATTTTGCACAGAGCTATTTCAGAGCTTCTCACTCACCCCATGTATGAACCACCCAGCCCACCTTGTCCTTACCCAGCATAGCAAACAAACTGGAGTTGATTGTTGTCTGATCTTTCTCCTTTGCTCCCTTAGGCAAAGACTTTGAGAGACACCAGGACACAGTCAGCCCAAAATAGGCTGCAAACACGTGGATGTGCATCATGCTTGTGTGGCTGTCCATCTGCAACAAAACCCAGGGGCAGCAGTGAGTGCCAGCATCCCCTGCCCACGGGCAAAGCCTCGTGTTCTTTGGAGAAAGTTCTGAGCTTCACATGGGCAGTGAGACTGAGAGTCATGAGACTGGTATTCAGAGTTTACCCAGACCAGAGGTTCCCCTTTCAGAGCAGCCCAGTGAGGGGCCAGGTATTTATCACAGGGAGGTGGCTGGTTGGCCTTCTGAGTAGCTCTTAAGTCCTTTTAGCTGAGGTCCACTTAGGAGGGGCAAAAAGCCACATGGAAATGCACTGTCCTCACTCCTCCTCAAACCCACAGGCATGTTCCCACATCAGTCCCACTGTGCACTGGCTGTTCTGCTGCCTGGAATGCAGGGTGCAGAGAGTGGGTGCAGGCTATAAGGGGGTTCATTGTCTTCAGAGAATTTAAAACAATAATAAAACCAACTGCAAGTCTGTCTGCTTCTTAATAGCACCATGTGCCACAATTCTAAACAGTGTCGGTGATAAAACACTCCTCCTGGGAGAGGCGGATCACTCCCCCTGCCCTGCCTTTGATCTGCCACTGTGCTGGACACCCACATAGCTTGCATACTTCCTGCCTCCATGTCCTTACCTAAAAATTATTTACTATAAGAGGCCTTCCCTGGGCACTCTCTCCAACATTTTACCCCCCATCTCCCCAGCTCTTCATTTCTCCTTTATTCATCTAATTTTTTCTCCTTAGTACTTGTCACTTTCTAACATGCTAGTATCTTTTGCCTGTTTTTATTGTTTATTAGAAAACTTTCCTTCGGGAATGGAAGTTCCACAACAGTTGCATCTTCCCACTGCCTAGAAGAGTGCCTGGAACATAATAAGCACAGAATAAATATTTGTGAAATGAACAAGTGAATGTAAGGAACCCCTGACCATGTGTAAAAAGGAAAGTCTGCAGAATTCCCTTGTAAGAGCTGAAAAGAAGCCTTGCACGTTTCATCTCTCTGAGGTCCCCCAGGAATCCAGGAACTGCACTTGGGGATCCTTGGTTTTGAATACTAACTCATAGAGGCTGCAGGGAGGAGAGGAGATGACTTTGAATTCGTGCAGGCTTCTACAACAATTGTGATAAACAAGGGTATTTCTTCGAAGCTCCAGACATGTACATTTCCATTCACTGTTTCCACTGGGATGCCTAACACACATCTCTAGCCCACACCTTAATCCTTAGGCTACCACATTCAAAACCAAACTCTGGATTTTCCTTCCCAGATCTACACACCCCCTACTGCTCTCCATCTCAGTGACTGGCATTCTCATCTACCTAGTTGCTCCAAATGAAAACCTTGGGGTCATTTTTGAGCCTTCTTTATTTCTCCCATTCCACGTGCCTCTCATCATCAAGTCCTGTCAATTTTGCCTTCGAAATGCAGCCAGAATCCAGCCTTCCCACAAGTTTAACACTCAGTTTACTGAACCCAGATTACTGCAGTACCTTTCTCTCTGGTCTCCACCTACTCCACCCCCACCCTTGCCCTCTTTGTTCTTTTCTGACCCCAGAAGCCAGATACAACCCCCAATCTTTGAGTCCAAGTCTAGTGTTCTTTCTCCTAAACCAAGGTGGGTTGTAGGTTCTCACCAGGCTCTCTCACTACCTCACTGCATGACTGGGCAATCGCTTCCCCTCTCTGGACATCAGCTTTCTCATCTGTGATCAGTTCTTGTCTCTTTGATCGTGCCTGATCTCAGTGTCAGGGCTACGGCAGAGAAGCTGGGGGAGCCGTTCGCAGCTGGCCTCAGCCTTGGACTTCTGACAGTCTTCCTTAATGAGATCACATGTACAGTTAGTGACACATGCTAACTGGTTTGAAAGAAGACGCAGGCCATTCAGTTTGCTAGACCACTGCTGGTGGGGCCCTGGGAACTAATTCTCTTTTTATACATTCCATAATTACCTTGTGAATAGCATAGTCCTAGTATCATATATTGGAAGTTAAAGGCACTAGTTTGCTATGTTTAACATGTAGTAAAGATCACACTTCTGGAACCCCACTTGGGCCTGTCCAAATTATTTTTTAATCCCAGAAGCCCCACCAAATGGAGGCGGTATCCTCCCTCTGCACCTGCCCCCCTCTTCACTAAGGTCCCCTCTTCACAGCACAGCAACTCACATTGTGGAACTTCCTGTTGGCCATCCTCAGGATGCCAAAGGCTGTCACCTCTATCAGTGTCATCGCCACCAGCTGTGCCAGGTTGGCCTTCCCCAGGACGGCTCCCACTGAGATCAGCACGGACATAGCGCTCATGGTAGCCAGCTGAATACTGGGGTGGGACAGAGACAAAGAGGGGTGGCAGAGAAGGAGCCTCCCATTCACTCATTCACACATTCAGAAAACACTTGATGAGGCCTTACTCTCTGCCCCGGGGCTGCTGAAGAAACTTGGGAAACAGTGGAACAAGAAGACAAAATTTGTAGCCACACGGGGCCTGCTGCTGCCCAATCTGAGATCTCCATCTCCATCTGCGCACATTCCTCCGTTCTGCGGACACTCTGTGGTTCTCACAGGAAGGTCACAGTGAGTTACGGAGGCTGATGATGTCCCCTCAGGGCCCTTTTATGGGACCTGACAACTGGGTTTGGCCCATGGCTTTTCTTCTGCCGTCGTCACTCACAGATGCTCAATAGAGGGCGCTCCTCACCTGCCTGCTGGCCGGCTGGCCGGCCATTCTGCCACCCACCATCCTCAGCTCTCCCTCGCCGTGATAGTGGGAAGAGACCGAGTTTGGAAGTAGGATAAGCCTGGCTTCCAGTCCTAGCTTTTCCACTTGAGCAGCTATTTAATCTCAGTAAGCCTGTTACTCCATCTGTAAAATAAGAATGACAATAATACTTATCTCATGGTAGCGTGGTGAGGATAGGAAGGAATATCATGCGTGTGTATCTAGCACCATGACTGGCACGAAGAACTAACTCGGGAGTAGAGGCCAGCACTACTAGCACTGATTCCTTCCCTTCCTTGGCAAATGAACAAGCTCAGTGTGGGGATTCAGGAGAAAACAATTTTTTTTCAAGGTACTTTAGATCCATTCCGTTGGGGATGCAGGGCTGACATCAACAGCCTGTCAGTTAAAACTATCCATGAAATCACAAGGCTAACAGGGTTCACCGAGGAAGAGAGCAGTGTGGACTGGACATGTCAGGGAGGGCCTCCTGGGAGAGGCGGCACTGAGCAGAACAATCCAGGGTGACTAAACTAACCCATCCTCCTCTGGGCACATGGCTCTGAGACCCTCCTCCCCTCCCTGGGAGTTGATGATTATGTTACAATGACCACAGCCACCACAAGATGATAATAATAATAATAAGTTATTGAGCATTAGGTATAATAGTCCTGCGACCATATCACCTCATTTAAATTTTAATCCTCCAAGTACCCCTCCATAAGCGGTGCTGAGGTACCATTTAGCACCTCCATCTTACAGAATAGATATTGGGACTAGAAGAGGTGACTTTTTTGGCAATGGCCACACAGCTAGTTAATGATAAATGTGAGGTCCAAACCCAGCTGGCCTGGATCCAAAGCCTGCACTGTGAAGTCTGGAAACAGCCTCCCCAGTGTTTGCTGACAGTGTAGTGTCCTGCTTAAGGCCCAAGGACTTAAGAGGGAAGGTCAGAGCAGGGCGCAGGGCCTGCGCAATGAGTCTCACAGGGACCAGGGGTTATTTGGGGTAAGGGGTTCCTCAGTGTCTCACCGAGGCTGGCCCAATGTTGGACCTTTTGGGTGAATGCTCATTTACTTGGTAAAAGCCTAGTTCCAGAGGCTGTGGGTCCGTGGTGGGACTTCAGAGCCCGGGCCAGTTGGTGCTAGGGAGATGTTGGGGCCATGAGTACGGTGATCAGGGGTGCAGTCTCCAGAGAAGGCTGCCTAGGTTGCAGTCCTGGCTCAGCTGCTTCCTGGCTGTGTGGCCTTGGGCAGATTACTTAACCATGCTGTGCCTTAGTGTCCTCATCTATAACGTGGATACAGGCCTCTGAGCTGTTGTGAAGGCAAAAAGAGTTCATACATGTCAGGCACAATCAGGAGGTTGGTTATTGCTATTGTTTTCCAGGGGGGTGGCCCTCTTAGACCTTCGAAAAATACAGCATTAAAAATACCACACCTCTTAAGGTTCCTTTTATTTTTGTTTTTGTTCCAATAACCATTTACTAAGTCTTACTATGTGATGAAAACAAAGGAGGACAAAGCTGGATAAGACAGGCCCTGCCACGCAGGGCCTGGTCATCAGTGACTCAAGGCAGAACCAGTTCAGGGCCAAGAACCAGTTCCAGCAACTGCACAATGCAGGCAGGGGAGGCCACGGAGAGGGTGAGCTCCTCCTGCCCTGGAGGCAGGCCTGGGCACCGCCCACCAGACTAGCCAAGTTCCTGGGAAGGTCAGGAAAGAGCTCATTGTTCAAATCTGTGAAGCCAGGCCCAGCAGGGATCACAGCTGGGCAGATCCCAGGGGTCAGAGGCGTGGCAGGGGAATTCACTCAGACCACAAATCACTTCTTCTTGTCTTCCTGGATTGAGTCAAGAATAAACTGGTCCCTACAGGCAAGATGTCCAAAGGCAGCAGCCCAGAGCTGCCTGGAGGCTAAGGTGCAGGAGGCTGAAGGCTTTTGTGACCTTAAGCAAGGCAGCAGAAATGCCAGACCAGGGACACCACTGTCAGAGTTGCTCCAAAGTGCCTTTTGTTCCTTTCCTGGGGGCTACTGGGGTTATTAGATCCCCATCGGGATAAGCTCTAAAACTGTTTAGAAGGAAAAATGTAGAGAGTTTTCTCAGGGCCAGTAGGAAGCTGGTAAGACTGTGTTTCAGGTCATGACTGCTCTGGAGTGTGAGGGAAAGGTTACAGATAGTTAAAAGCTGAAGTCATTTCCACCAATTTGCTGTGTGACCATAGGCAAGTGCGTTATGCTCTTTGAACCTGTTTCCTTACCTGTCTACCAGGTTAGACCCTACTGGGAGGGTTAAACAATATGTTTGTGAAGTGCCTGGCACTGTGCTGGCTCATGGAGAGATATTCTAGTCGTGCCCAGAAGCTTAGCAAGGTCTCAGGAGGAGGATGGAAGGGTCTTGAGAAGTGACAGGTTCCCAAGATGCCTAAGGTGGGATTTACCATCACCTGGGCAGAACAGAGATTCAGAGTTGGACGAAATTAAAAAACAATCTTTAAGGTAGATTTTACCTATTTCCTCCTATCAAGTGATAATGCCTCTTTTTTTAAAAGTGTACAGCCCGATGGATGTGTATATATGTGTACACATGCATATGTGTGTAGGGGGGGGACCATCACCCAGGATAGCATAGAGAACATTTACTGTACCCCATAAGGTTACTTTGTACCCCTTCCTCATCAATAACCAGAGCCTTCCCTAGATAACCATTATTCTGGCTTTTAGCAACATGGGTTAATTTTGCTAGTTCTCAGAATTTCATAGAAACGCATCTAAGTGGATCAAAGATAAAGTAAAGACATAGCTATTTCTTGTCTGCCAGTCCATTTGAGGACTAAGAGTACTTCTTTCTCTCCAGGAGACTGTCTCTCTGAGTGTGACATTTCTGTTTCTTTTTGTCAAAATCTCAATTTTTCTTTGAACTCACCTTGATTATGTAACTTTACAAAACCATACTCAATAATAAAGAAAGGGCTTGGGAGAGCTGTAGATGGGGCCTAGGGTTGTCAGATAAAATATAGGAGGCCCAGTTAAATTTGAATTAAAAAATAATGAGTACTTTTTTAGTATAAGCACGTCCTAAATACTGCACAGCTTCAATGCTAGAAAGACAGAGGGACATTCCAGCTCTTCAGGAACTGCCCTCTCAGGCCTCATGCCCTCAAGGACCCCAAAGCAATCCAGTAGCCATCTGGTTACCTGGACAGACTGATGACAACCTCATGGTGCCTGAGGAAGGACGGTTTCAGGAAGCCATCTAGCAGGACTGCCCACTGCACCCCAAGCGCCAGCAGGAAGAGGTTGAAGGCCACGCCACTCCAGCCAAGTCTCCGCAAGGACGAGGAGAGGAAGCCCAAGCCCAGGGCCACCATGACTGTAATGTCCTGGAAGACTGCTCAGGGGGATGTTGAGAAGGAGGAAGAGAAGCAGACAGGATGGAAGGTTGGATGAAATTAGAGTTTTACACATGGCAGCTGAAAGGGACATACATTAATGACCATTTAAGAGTGCTGGGTCAAGGTACTTCTCTATTTTGAGCCTCAGCTTTCCCATCTGAATAAGGGGGATAACACATACATACACCATGCAGGGTTGAGGTAAGGACTAGATGAGCTCACGCTGGCTGAGCAGGAAGGCAGGCCTGACACACAGTGAGTGTTCAGTAAATGTAGTAATTATTGGTATTACTAAACATAATGGTATGAACAAGTGTGGAATACCAGGACCTGTGCTTGGCACATAGCTGGCACTCAGTAAAGTTAATTACTGCTGCTCTTGAGGATCAGGTTCAACCTCCTGATCACATGAATGAGAAAATCAGGCCACAGAAACCAGTGACGTGGCCCAGGTCATGCAGAAAAGAGGGCGGGCAGACACAAGGCCTGGGTTCTTTTGGCAAGAGCCAAATCATGCTTGCAGGAAACAGCTCTCTTCCTTTGCCACCTGCTGCAAGGGACCTGGTGGGCCAGAGATAAGCACCAGGGCCAGCTGGGTGGCCCTCACCTTTACCAGCCTCAGACACTGTGCAGGGGCTGGTGAGTACAGAGACTCAGCTAATGGAAGGGAAGAAAAAGGAAAAGGCTGGACACTTTGATTTAATTCCAGGTTTTAAAAATGTTTCGCACCGTGGGTTCTGAAACTAGAAAAGCTTGGGTTCAAATCTGGCACTGGCATTTGCCAGCTGTGTGGCTTGATCTAGTTATTTAATATCTCTGAATCTGAGCGACAGCCTGCATGTATTATGTGTCTACCATGTGCCAGCACTATTTTAATCATTTTACATAGGTTCTCCCATTCGGTTCTGACAACCACCCTGCATGGTGAGTCCTGTTAGTGTCACCATTTTACAGATGGGAAAAGTGAGGCACTGAGGAGATGAGTAACTTGCTCCAGCTGGTAGGGCCAGGATTGAGACCTGGGCAATTTACCCCGAAGCTGGTGCCTTAGCTACTGTGTCACCTGCCCTCTTAGTTTTCTCATCTGTTAAATAGGAAAAATAATCATCCTTCCTTAATCAGGATGCCAGCATCCAATGGTCTAATGCACATAATCACTCAGAATAATAAAGATTCTTTTATCAACAAACACCAGCTATTTTCACATGTGTGTAAGTGCCTGGAGAGAGCTCTTGGAGGAATTTATTACTAATTTGGATATTATCTCTGGGTTTGGGGCAATTTTACTTTTTTTCCCCATGTTTTAATTTTCTAGCACCAGCATGTAGACAGTCAACAATTTTTTAAAAAATGAAAAAAGCATGGACTTCAAATTGTGTTTGATCTCAGCTCTCTGATTCCCTATTACGTTAAACAGTATGAAAATTGCCAACACTTGAGCGTTTTTGACCTATACAAAATGGCAATTCATCCGTTTCAACCTCATAGCTATGTGGCCTTGTTGCTTAGTTTCCTCACCAGCCGCATAAGAGCAGTCACACCCACCTCAGAGGGTGCCAGCCAGGAGGTCTGAGGGAAGAAATGTTTTGTTCAAGGGCTTGGCGCAGCGCCTGGCACATGCAACACACACAGTAAACGATAGCTCTTCACCACACACCACTGTCACCCTCATTACAGCAACGAGAACTCACCTGGTCTCCACTGGGCCCCAGCCCTGACTCTCATAACAGTGAGGAAGCTCAGTTCTAGAACTCTCCTAAATCTCAGAAAGCCCTTCCAGTTACATTTAAATTCACTTTCACTGAAAAAATACACATATCCTGCATCTTGCCCATAGACAGGCCTTGGGTGGATGTTGATGTTCCCAGATCAGTTTGATAGCAGCGGGATGTAGGAGACCCCTGAGGGTCTCTGTGGGATTTGGGGACTTGGATAATGGTGAGAAGTATGTATTAATTCAACATCTTGCACCTTCTCATCTGATATGGGGGAGAGGGAGGTACAGACAATGATTTAGTCTCCTGCTTGCATCCTCTTAGGAATGGGAGTGGGTTGGCGTGGGCAGGGCACATTTTATATAGGGAGTTGCTCTTAGGATTGCTCAAATTCCTTCAGGAGCGAGACAGAAAGAAAGCTACATGTATGAAGGGTGCAATGCATATTTGGGCATGGTGAGAACTGTGGCCAACTGGAGAATGCACACCCCACTCTAGATGTTCACATTCAATCTTCTATTAAATATCACTGTTAAACAAAACACATCTGCCATTCAGCAACAACACTACATGTAGAGGGTCCAGGCTTATCAAGAATTCCGTGAGCAGGGAGACCCTTCCATTTTCTTCCTATGGTCTCAGAGAAGACCATAGTGAGCCTGTGCCCTCCTCAAGGCCACACATAACATGCTAGCAGCAGAGCCAAGCTCTGAACTCCAGGTACAGTGCCCTTCCACCAGGCTAGACTACCTTTTGCTCTTGTTTGCCCTCACCTCACTAAGGGGCATTAGGCAAGTCTCTTGCCCTCTTTGGGTCCCAGTTTCCCTCCCTGTAACACATGGGCCTTGGACTTGATACTCTCTAAAGCATATTCCAAGGAGGGGATCAGTGGGCGGGTCAGGAGGGTCACCAGGATTAGGGCAGAGGTGGGGCTCTAAAAATTAAAGTCAGAAGATCTTGGGTGGGGGCTTTATCAGGCACAGCCACTGGCCCTGCTGCCAGGTACATGGGTCAGGGCCTCCTCCCCAACGCCCCATATGTACCTGAGGGAGGAGCTGTGTGTCAGCCAGCAGGATGAAATTAGGGTAGCAGTTTCTGGGAGCTGTTGATAGAGCCTGTTCACCCCAAACATTTGATTTCAGGTCTCTCTCTGTCACTCCCCACCCCTTCCTGCCTCCTCTCCCGGCCTCCCAGAGCTTGAGGCCCCCTATGCCTCACTACCTGGGTCCCCACTTTGGGGCTGAGTTCCTACTCAGGGCATCCCTCCTGGTGTCAGCCTCACCCTCCAGAGCCTGTGCTGCACCCCACATCAGCTGCTGGGCTGATAAGCTAGTGGGCTTGAAGGTGTTCAGAGGTGATAAGGGCAGGATGTGCTACCAGGTCCCTAACGACTGGGCCTCAGAGGGGAATTTTACAGTCTAAGACAGCCTGCAGGAAAATTTATGGAAGCCCCATGACTTGCAGAAAGAAAGTCTAACCTGGAAGTCTAGCAGCATGGGCTGAGGCAATAATTACCTACCATCGTAACAGCAGGCACATACAGAGTGCCCTCTGTGTGTCAGATGCTGTGCCAGGTGCCTTAGAGCCTTAACCTACCACACCTCCTGCAGCACTTGCTCTCCACATTTTGCAGATGGGGAAAGGAAGGCACAGAGAGGTGAGGTAGCTCGCCCAGGTCACACAGCTAGCAAACAGTAGTGGGAGATCTGCATCCGGATTATCTGGATTTAACTATCATGCCAGTCTGCTTCTTAATACAGATAGATAGTGTAAGGGTGAAGAGTGTGCCTCTGAGCTGGGCTGTCAGGGTTCAGAGCCTCGCTCTACCTCTGTGCCCCAGCTCCCTAATCTGTAAAATGGGTATGAAAAAATAGTACCTGCTCAGAGGATTGCTGTGAGTGCTGAGTTCACTGGTTTACACAAATCACTTAGCCTAGCACTGGGTGCACAGTGAATGTTAGTAACTATTATACCATGCCCCCCACTTATTAGTTGTGTGACTTGGACTAGACTGTTTCCCCCACTGCTGCCTGGCTGCCCCTGTGATCCTAGCTGTGTGCCCCCATCCATCTGTGCCCCTCCCTCTGGCCTGTAGACACTTCAGCACCAACCACCCTGAAGCCAGGCCGGCTCAGTCCATCAGGCTCTGAGCTTGGCCTCCACACCTGGTACCCACGCTACCTTCCCCTCCTGACAACCTCTACACCCACTCCACCCTCACCCCTGCAGCAGCTTGAACAGAAACAGACACTTCCCGATCTAAGGGGCAGCCAAGACTTAGGGTTGGGGGGTGTTCCCCTGCCACTGAGAAAGCCCTTCTTGTCTTCTAGCAGCTCTCCTCCCTGCTTCTGAGGAGCACAAGGGAGACCCGGGAGATATTCGTAGTGCAGGGCCCAAGATAGCTCCCCAGTTTGGCTGCCCTAGAGCAGGTTCTGTGTGATAGATGGTGACAGTAGCAGTCCCTAGTGAATCATGCCTTTCAGTATAGACCCCTCCCACCTGAGTTGGGCCTTATGATTTTCTTTGGCCAACGCGACATTAGTAAACATACAAGCTGAGGCTCGAAAAGCACCCATTCACTGGGGCTTGCCCTTTCTGCAGAAACTCTTTTGCTGCCATGTGAAGAAGTCTGGGCTTGTCTGCTGGAAGCACATGGGCTAGATGCCAGCCAGCCCCAACTGCCAGATGTGTGGAGGCCATTTGAGGTCATCCCCCCAGTCAAACCTCCAGGCTGCAGATGCGTGAGAGGTCCTAAGTGGAACCAAGAACTGCCCGGTTGAGCCCCACCCAAATAGCTAAACCACAGAATCATGATCACGAGCAAGTTAAATGTTTGCTGTTTGAAACACTGAGTTTGGGGATGGCTTATTATGCAGCAATAGATAACTGATACACTCTGTTCCCCTAAGCATCTCACAGATCACCTCAGCTCCAAGCCCAGAAGTAATACATCACTGTTCATTCACCCTACAATCTGTCCCTCCCCTTGTGCCCCTCATCTCAGAAACTGGCCCCTCCATATACCAAATCATGTACCTCAGCCATCCTTGACTCCTCCCTTGCTTTCACCAAGTACAGATGATTTTACCTCCTAAATATCTCTTGAATCTGACCCTGCCTCTTGCCCACTGCCCCTACCCATTTGGCTTCCCTACAGGTCATCCAGACCAGTGGTCATCAGAATAGGGAACGCACACTTCAGAGGAGGCTCTAGACAGTCATAGCGGCTGCTGGAAGATCTTAGCACCTCTAGCTTTATTTATTTTTATTAAAAAATAAGAAATCAAACATTAATACTAAAAGCTAGTACATTTACGAGTCTATGTATGTGTGAATTCTTTCAAGCCTTTCAATAACATCATGAAAAAGTACTACCAGGATGTGACAAAAGTTGAAACGGAGGCAGAGAGAGACTGAACCATTCGCCCCAGTTCTCACAGCTAAGAAGACGCAGAGGCAAGACTTGAATCAGTCAAGCTCCAGTAGTTCCCAAACTTTCAAGTGCCCGAGCGTCACTTAGCGGGCTTGGTAAAACAGATGGCTGATGAGTAGGACCTGGGCCTGGGAACCTGCATTTCTAACAAATGCCATGGGGGTGCTGAGGTTCTGGTTTGGGGGCCGCACTTTGAGAACCATTGATCTAGGCTACTCCACCTCCAAAGGCACTTGGTGAAATTTACCACTCTGAAAGTATTTAACCTTCAGATTAACCCAGGAATCCCCTCTCGCTTGCTCAGAATGTCAGACTGCTTTGAGTTTGGAAGGGGTCCTGAGGGAACACTGGGCCATGTTCACCTGTCTTCAATCTATGTTTTTTGGACTAAGTAATTAGTCCATCCCCTGTCTCCCCATTCTGAAGGGAAGGGAATGGCATGTGTTTCTCCATAGTCATCATGTTGCAACTAATGTCAGGTTTTTTAAAAAATGTCGTTATTTATTACGGAAAATTTTAAGCATATACAAAAGCAGAGAGTAGCATTGTGAATGTGGGGTACCCAGGCCCAGCTTTGATGATCATAACATGGGGCCAACCTTATTTTTACTATCCTTCTCCACGTTTTTCTTTTTTTCTGGCATAAAGCAAACACCAGACATTGCTCCATTTTAATATGCCTCTCTAATAGGTAGGACCCTTAGAAAACCCACCAGGCCTTTATCACACTTAGCAAAACTAACAATAATTCCTGTGTATCATATAATACTCATGCTACATTCAGATTTTCTGATCGTCTCAAACATGTCTTTTTAGAATTGTCTGGTTTGAATAACATTGCAGTTTACATGGACTGGATTAGCATAAATGAATTGACAGATTAAGTTACCTAGTTTTAACTCAACTAACCTTCATGAGATGGACTAATTACTTAGTCCAAAAAACATAGATTGAAGACAGAACAACAGTGGCAGCCAAGCACACAAAAGAAGGGCAGACTTCTCCTTGTGCAAGTTCTTCATCAGTCACATTCAAGGTTAAAAAATAAAAGTCAACCTCATCAGATCTGGCGAGACATCAACCAAGAGAATGTGAAATTATGAAGCCGACCCCGACATCCACTTGAATCTTACATCCACTGTCAGCAACATTAACAAGGGACCTTGCCTTGAGATGGACTAGAACCACTGTGATCAGTAATTTGAAAATACTATGTATTTCATTTTGACATCTTTCACATTTTCCAATTTGTGTGTATGCATCATAGTATAATGCACAAAATATACTAATGCAGAGTATTGAGTATAACATGTAAATGTGATGCATGCTTGAAAAATGGTGTGCGTGATCAGAAAAGCTTGAAGCCCCCTGGTCCGTCCCACACTGCAGCCTCCACACTGGTCTCCCACCTCAAGTCATGTCTCCTTCCCCCATCCTCTGCCCCAGCCCTGGAATGGCTTTCTCCCTAACTCAAAACCAAACTCATCACACTCCTGCTTCCTACTAGGTCAACAGAATGAAGACCAAACTCCTTTCTCAACCCTGTGGGTTCTCCATGCCCTGCTTCTCTCTTTCTGCTCCACCAACCGTGATAAGCCCTTGTCTGGTCTGCTCCAGGGAGTGCACACACAATGGCTCCTGCTGTCCTCTCTAGACAGCCTTCCATTTCCACACGGTTAACTCCAACTGAGCCTCCAAGACCGGGCTGGGCATTCACCAGCCCACAGAAGCCTGCTATGACACCACCAGCCCCCCTGCCTGGGTCGTAGACCCTCCTTTGTGCTCCCACATAAAATGAATGTCCAAGGACACTTTATATCTATGCTAGCAGCACAATATGGGGTGAAGAACACAGACCCTGGAGCCAATGTACAGAGTTGGAATGCCGGTTCCTGCACCCACCGGCTATATGACAAGTGACTCAACCTCCCTATAAAACGAGATGGTGAAACATGAAACATAATGGTCATGTGCATGGAAACTAAAGCCAGGCTGTCTAAATTTAAATCTGTGGTGCTATTGCTTCGCTGAGCAACACCGGGAAAATTACTCCATGTCCCTGTGCCTTATTTCCTTGTATGAAAAATGGAGATCATTATAGTACTTATGTGATGGGGATGTTGTGAAGGTTCAGTGCAGAGTTTTAGAATGGTACCTGGCACGTAGTAAGTGTGCAATAAATATCAGTTCTAATTAGCATGTGTCTGGATTCCACACTGGATGTATTACAGTGCTGGATCAATAAATGAAGGAATGAATGCATTGAATTACATTGTATCGGGTTCAAAAGAGTTAAAGTAAATTGAGATGAATTAAAATTGTGTCAGGTGTTGCTTGTCTGTGCTCAGGGCCTCTCTCTAGCCAGTCCATTGATTGGTGCAGAGGCTCCCCTCTCTGCATCATCTCCTTGTCCCACGGTCCCCTGCTAAGAGCCCAGGGGTGCCTTCCCTTTGCCTCCAGTTACCCAGTCAGTTAGCATCCCTTAGGAGCAGGCAAGCATTCAACCAGACCCAAGTTTCAGAATTGGCTCAGGGACAACATGCAAGGAAGCCTACCCATTACCATAAACAGCATATTGGCGCACTGAGATGCTTGAAACGCATCTCAGTTTTTTAAAAAAGCAAAAGCCACACCACTGTGGACATCTGTCTTATTTACAGTTGTTCTCATCCAGTCCGTGAATATTTTTAGCTGCATATGAAATAACAATTATCCTACACTCCTCTTTAGCCATACCTTACAGCTCTGGCTTTGCACACAGAATGCAGACTTCCCAGCCCCTGAGTGAGAAGAAGTTGGGCGTGGAGAAAGAGAACAGACTAAAGCTTCCAAGGGGAGGGTGGTACAGGAGGCCCCTCACTCTGCCCTGGTAAATAAAGGAAGACTTCTTGGAAGAGGTGATGCCCATGCTGGTCCAAAAGGAAAGCCTCCATTATTAACTGGGTCTTTGCACAAACTTATGGAGAAGATGAAGGAACCCCTTTCCTTGGAGACTTGTGGAAAGGAACATCTAGGTCCCTGGAGGACCACAGACCTTCCAGGCCCCTGCCCCTGCTATTTGCCTCTGTGACCACCTCACCTCTAGACACTCACCTCGATAGGCCCCAATGATCTTCTTCTCTTTCTTTAAGGAAGTGTCATAGGAGGTGAATAAGAAGAAGATGAGGATGAGAGCCACCTCCAGCGTTAAGGTCCAGAGGGGCAGGCAGCCCCGCACAGATCGTGGGTACTTAGAGACCATCCTGTGTCTGTCTCCGCGGGGCCCTTCCACCAGCACCAGGCATCACCCCTCTGCTCCCACACCCACTCGGAGGAGTGATAGCAGAGACACCCGCCAAAGGCCTTATCTCAGGCTGCAAGGCTGGCTCTGTTGGCCTGTCTACTGAGTTAACACAGGAGCAGAGGGACCAACAGGGATGGGGAAGAATGCATTTATTCCAACATCAGTTAATTCATTCAGTCACTCATGCTGAGCCCTGGGGAGGATATGGACAGGGAACTAACTCCTCAGAGCTACCCAGTCGAAACTATTTATATTTGAATCTATATTTAAATCTATTTGTTTCTAAACCTTTTAAGGGTACTTGGCGGAGAGGGAAAAGGAGGCTTGGGTAACTGAAGTTGCCCCCACCTCTGGCCACCTCCTTACAGAGCAGCCCAGGACTCTGGGTGGGGCATGAGCACTACAGTGCATTTGGGGAAGGCCACCAGCCTGGGAACCCCCATCCTACAGTTGTGGACAGTCCCCTGAAATGGGATTTAGGACACCTGGGATCTCATTCTGTCCCTGCGGCTAACTTCTCCTATGGCCTCATCCATGTGCCTAGCAAAAGGCCTGATATATAGTGAACAACAAGAAAGGGGGAAAGAAGGGAGGGAGGAATCAAGTTTTCTTACCTTCTACGCTGGCCCCAGCCACTAGCCACTGAGTAAAGATTGAATTTGTGGGGTCCCCGAGAGTCAAACTAGACTGGGAGTTGAAGGGAGGCAGATTTTGGTCCAATGTGAGTGGACACTCTACTGACGGTTACAACTGTCCGGTGAAACAGGCTGCTTATGACATAGTGAGCCCCCTGTCACTAGAGGAATGCAAGTAGAAGGTGATGGGTACTTGTCCAACATGTCTTAGAAGTGATTAATATGAGGATAGCAGGAGATTTTATTCACCCACTAGTATCTTGTTATTTTGTTTTTAGATGAAGAAACTAAGACGCAGAAGGTTATACCCTAGGTCATACAACAAGTTGGCATCTGCCACTTCTTGCTCATCATAGCTTTATTTATAGAAGAGAAAAATGAGAATAACCTAAATGTCCAATAGTAGGAGGCTGGCTAATAAACTACAGGACACAAAACTTGCCACCAATATGATGGTTCTGAACATATGTGGAAAAATCCGAAGGAAAATGCTTTCAGGCTTTATCAAAAGCGGATATATTATTTAGTGAAAAAACAAGTTACAGAACAGTGTAAACAATATGTTCCCACTTTTGTAAAATAAAAAAAATAATACTACATTAATGCAAGCATAGAAAAAATTTGGTTGCAAACCATTAACACTGGTTACTTTTGCTTTACATGTTTTCTGGGGCTAATATTTGCTAAACACCATTGTTAGGCACTGTTCTAGGCACTTTGCATGTATGAGCTCAGTTAATGACCCTGTGAGGTGTAGATATTATGAACCTAATATCCTGGGGCCCAGAAAGTTAAGTGACTTGCGCAAGGTCCCAGGGCTGGTCAGTAGTAGAGCTGGAATTTGAACCCAGGCACTCTGATTCGTGCACATAAGTCTAGATAACTTCTAGGTCTTCTTCCCATCCTAAAAGTCTAGGAACAGAGGATTCCAAGTGCTTTGCTACCTCAGTAATAAATAAGGGAGAAGGTGTCCCAACCCCTAGAGGTCAGAGATCACAAGTCTTCATTCCCCTCATGGTCACCCCTGGTTTGATTCCTGGCTTTTTTCTGGCTGTCAGCACTTCTTATGAACTGTTGTTTGTCTGGGTTTCCTTATGGAGGCACTCCCCTGTGCAGTGGGTAAATGAACATGACCCTTACTGGCCTGGGTTCTGTACCAGGAGCCTATAAACTAAGTATTGGGACCCACGTGCCTAGGGACACCAAATGTCAGCCAGACAAACATGAAAAGATTTCCAGCCACTGTCAGCCCCTGTGCCTGTAGCCCCTGATGGTTATTTTCAGCAGCTTGCAAATTCATTGTGGATGGCAGATGGTTCAATGGCACATGTAGATAAAGTGAAGGTTCCTATGGCCAGGATTCTCACCTGGCCCTGGTTGGCTAGCTCACTACACATGTGTGGGCAATACATCATTATTGACTCTATGTAAAGAGCTTAGCCCTGTGCTCTGTGCAACATGGTGACATGGCTGCAAGGCTGCAGGAGAGCAGAGACTGGAGTGGTGGCAGCATCGAGGATAGAGACTGAGATGGCTGTGTGGGCAGAGAGGCCCAGAGGCAGAGACCGGCTTGCTGCATGCAGACTCGCTCTGAGTGGACGGGATTCTAGTGATTGACCTGCCACTGTGGAAATAAAGTTGGGTATAAACCTTTCACCCCAAAAAGGTTCTACTGTCACTTCTTTGGTTACATTGAATCTATAGTGAACTTGCCTGGGGCTAAAACCCATTGGCAAGACAGCATCCCAAACCCCTGTGCATCCTGATCCTGCCCCGTGAGGGACTGACAGCTTGGCAAGGGAACCAAGCTTCCTGCTGCACTAAGAGGCTTTCTTTACTAAAGGGAGGGGTCCTCTCCGCTAAATTGGCTTCTCTCAACAGATTTGTCAAAAGGTGAACTTCTGTTCTCACTGACTATTTATTTATTTATTTATTTTGTTGTTATTAATCTACAATTACATGAAGAATATTATGTTTACTAGGGTCCCCCCTTCACAAAATCCCCCCCACAAACCCCATTACAGTACTGTCCATCAGTTTAGTAAGATGTGTTCTCACTGACTCTTGCAAAAGGCCCATTTTCTGACTACAGTTCCACGTATTCTGTCTCCAAATCTTCAAGGCATGTCACCTGGTACAAAAAAAACCCAGGGGATTAGAGCACATACATCATAAAACAAATACAGTTTGATGCTAATTGTTGAACTAGGTGGGAGGTGAATGGCTTTTCACTGTACAATTCTTTCAACTTTTTTGGTATGATTGAAATTTTTCATAAGACAATGTTGGGCAAAGAACACTGTGTGCACCTGTGGCTCCCTCCACCTGAAACGTTCCTCCCATCTCGTATCTGCTCCACCCTCCCTCCTCAGATCGTGGCAACAGGAGAACAGGGGCCTTTGACTGTTGCATCCTCAGCACCCGGTGACTGGTCCATTGTAGTTGCTCAATAAATATTTGCTGAATGAATAACAGCTGCCATTTCTGGACAACCAAGCAGTACACCAAGCAATTTGTATATCTTATTTCATTTAATCTTTCCCTCAACTGTGTGAGTACAGGCATCATCACTCCTGTTTTACAGCTGAGGAAACTGCTGCTCAGAGAGTGATGTGAATGCCCAAAGTCACACAGCTAATAAATGGTGGAGTTGGGACCCAACCCATTGATGCCATGGCTTGTGCTGTTAACTACTTTGTAATTCTGCCTTCCACTTACTAAACCACTCATGGTCATCTCAATTGCCTTATGAGTCAAATAAGATGAGTTAGTCTGCTCTCATGGGGTTTTGTGCACATGAGAATATGTAAGCATGCTTGGCAACCTGGGTTATAGAAATGAAGGTGGGCAAGCGGTCCAAGGCTGTGACATCCTGGTCTGAGTGGCCAGGCCTCCTCCAGCCATGACGACCCAAGTCAGGGAGACTGCAGCTTTCACATGTGATCATGCACTTTCTGTACAAACAGAAAATAGTGTATGAAAACACTCACCAGGCTCTCCTCACCTGACTCAAGCATTGTAAAGCTCATTCATGGGCAGTGACCACAAGACGGGCAGGCCCTCCACTCCCTCTCTGGAAGCCTGTCCACCCCAAAGGTAAAATTCTGCTCTGGGCATGCCTGGTTAAAGTGTGGCTAAGCCAACCATTTGTTCATATGACAAACATGAGCTTTGGAGCCAGGCAACCTGGATTCAAATCCTGTCTCTGCAAATTATTAGCTGTGTGACCTTGGGTAAGAAGATCACTATCTCTGAGTCAGTTTCATCATCTGTTAAGCGGAGAAAATCAGTGTCAACCCCATAGGGTGGTTGTAAAAATTAAGTAAGGGAGTGCATATAAAGTGCCAGATGTGTAGATAAGTTTTCATAAATGTTAGCAATTTTTACTATACAAGCTTAGTATGTTTATGGTAGGAAATTCTGAAAGTGAAGGGATGCAAAAAGTTTACAAAAAGGTTCACCTCAACATCTTCAAAACCAGCTCTGCTTCTAAGTGTGTGAACCTTTCCAGATTTTTTTCTATTCATGTGAATTTATGCCTTATTTTTTCCCTATAAAAATAGAATTATATTGCACAAATGATTTGGTAACTTGCTTTTTTAATGAACAGTATATCATAAGCAGTTTCCAAGCCAAGAGAATCTTCCTACAACACTGTAGGATGGTGGCTCAGAGCCTAGGCTCTGACACCAGACTGCCTGAGTTTGTGTTCTAGCCCTATCACTTACTATGTGACTTTAGGCAAATAACTGTGCTGTGCCATAGTTTTCTCCTCTTTAATTTCTCCTCTGTAATAATCTCTACCTCATAGAGTTGTAGTGAGGATTAAATCAAAGTACTTAGATTAGTGGCTTCACATAGTACTATGCTTAATTGTTCTCCATGCTACACTGACTTCCAGTGTAAGGATGTGTGATCACTTGCTTGGCCAACTCCCTTTGTGGGCTATCTAGGCTACTTCTAAACTTTTCTGTTCTAAACACTACAATGAATATCCTCCATTAATAGGTTCTCTGGCAGATATAGATATAAGAGGTGACCATCCCAATGTCTGGACTTTTCTGTGACTCCTGTGGGACAGGAGCAAAGCTGGTGGGCTTGAGCAAAGCAGCCCTGCCTGGTGGGCTTGAGGAAATCACTCTGTTGAAAGAGGTGGGGATGAAATTTGCTTGTTTGTGAAACAGGGTGTGATGATCTCTCTCAAGGCTATTCTGAACTTCTGTGAATCCCAACCCCTTGGCCATCAGAAAGTCCCTATATAAAAGGGAATAGAAGAGAAGGGACAGCCCTGAATTCCTGTCTGGCCCTAGGTCTTTTGAGTGAGAACAAATGGTTTCCGTTCCTTGTTTTACTTATCTGTAAACGGCCCCTGTTGATTCCCCTAGTTCCTGACTGGTGGTGGAAGTAGGAGGCTGACCTCATGGCAGCCCAGCTCTGGGCCCTTATGATCCCAAAGGGCCTTTTCAGGGCTCAGAGGGGAAAGGCTGGCACTCAGCTAGAGCCAAAGGGGATTGGGCTGGGGTGAGCTAGGAAAAGAGAGGGTCCACTGGGGCAGGAGAAGTAAGAGAGAAGGTAATGGAGAGGAGAATTCTTACTGTGGCCTATTCTTGGGCTCTTGGCAAGGAGGCCATTCCCAACATCTTACTCCAGTTGATCATCAGATCAACAACCCTAACCATTAACAGCCATTTAAATGTGCCTATAGCATCAACACTTAATTTTATTCAGCTTGTGCCATTGAGCTAAATTGGCTCTACCATACCAAATGCATGACCTCGTTTTTTCTGAGCCTCAGTTTTCTCAACTATACAATGGAGTTAACATGTGAAAAATGCTTCTAAACATAGGGCCTGAAATGTCTCCAGAGGGGATCTTGGCACAGGGTGAACAGGTGACTCAACTAAGGACACTAGTGTGTTGGCAGCAGAATTGGGACTGAAACCCAGACCTCCAGATTGCCTCTTCTTGGGTCATCAGCCTGAGATTCTCTCTGCCCTTTCTCTGCTCCCATGTAGCCCTATGCTCAACAGCAATTCAGCCATGTGTCCAGTGGCTCCCAGACACTCCACATTTCTGCCACTGCATGCAATGCCCTTGTCAGCGACCTATTTGATGGCAGGCTAGGTAGTGAGCTCCAGAAAGCTGGCAAGTGTCCCCACTGCCTCTCTCATCTTTTCTCCAGATTACTCACCTATCCTTTCCACAGTGTGCCACAGCACCTTCCTAGATGACAAGGACATAGTAGGGAGTGGAAAAGACATCCAATTGGGAGTTGGCTAATCTTGTGAAGTTGGCTGCCTCAGTCTCTGGCCCAGGTTGTGAAGACAAGGGGGTTGTCAGATCTGGAGTCCCTGTTGGGGCTGGTGCCAGGATCCCACCTTGTACCTCTCCTTCCTAGTGCTTTCAATCTCCAGCCACATTGATTTAGGTCCTGCCTGTATCCTCCCCAGTGAACCAATCTGCCTTGGCCTGATGCCTCTTCCGGCTGCCCCAAGCAGAGCATTCCACTCAGATCCTTTTACAATGATGGGCAGTCTCGGTGAAAGTTCGAGTTCACAGAGTTTGTTATCCTTGGCTGCCCAGTGCCACTTTATCAACATGCTGGCAGAGAGGTGAGGGCTGAAAAACAAGTATACTACTAACAGTAATTACTTGCTGTTACTGACTGCATGCTCGGCTCTAAAAGTTCATTATCCTATAACACTTAAAAGATACCTGAGGAGAAACAGAGGCTGTGAGAGATTCTGTATCTTGGCCAAGCCAGTAAATGGCCAAGCTGGACTTCCAATCCTAGTATGAATAAGCAGGTACTCTTGCCGTGTTTCTAAACTTCATCTCTGTAGTAATTCCCAAGAAGCTTTTTGCCTAGGTGGATGGATAAGCTTCATCAAAGAAATAAGAAGTCAGGAGCAGCACTGATGGAGATGCGCTGTATAGGAGCAAAAGCAGGAAGGAGGGAAGAGGAGAGGTTTGTAGTGGGTCTGAGGACAGTGAGTAGCCCTAGAAAAGAGGAGTGGGTCCCCATTGTGATGAGCCCTGGATGCCGTAATAGAGAATAGGTTTTTTTCTTTCAGGCACTAGGGTATCTTTGATTTGTGAGCAGGATAAGGTAACAGTGAGCAGTGATTGAGGATGATGCATTTGGTATAAATCACAAGTTCCTATTTCAGGGGTGTTAAGGGAGTGACCACAGGACAGTGAGAGGTCCACTCAACCCAGGACAAAACAAGATGTCATTTACTTCTGGAAGTTTTTTTAATGCCCTGGAAGACCACCTAACAGTTCTGCTGTTGGTGAGTGGTTAAATTGGCCCAGCCGCTTAGTAAGAGATTCTGCTACTGTCAGAAATAGGAAAAGTGCATAATTACATGTAAAAACGCTTGTGTTAAATGAAGAACAGAATACAAAATTGAACATCTAGTATGATCACCATTCTGTTTAATAAATAATAATAATAATAATAATAATAAT